AACAGAGCATTTAACCTCTTGCCCGCTCGTTATCTGTATTTGCGAAAATACAGGCAGTTTCTTTTCAAGCCATCGATATTATAATCAAAACATATTTGCTGGTGAGTTTTGTTGTTTATTTCAAGGAGCTGAACTGTTGGACCCTGATATATCGATGTCGTCGGTAGATTCCATCACGCACTCGCACACACACATATGTATAGGTGTAAAAATTCTGATGTAGCTAAAAACAGACGGAAAATTCTTGAGAGTGCAGCTATTGAAATTTAACAAAATATAAAACTGTGCACAAGTTTTTTCAGATATTTCCTTTTCTGAAAGATACACTCCTTTTCCAAGCCAACATACTTGAACATAAAAACATAAAATATTGTAAGAAAACGGTTAAATAATAATTACAAGGTAAAAATATATAAGAGCAAACAAATAAAAAATAATCATGGACAACAGGAACTTTTATTCACTCCCTATAAGTGATGTAATTTAATGGCCTAACGAAACATTAAATTATATCACTTATCGTCCTCCGTAGTCTATAGTGCCTTTCACGTTCAGGCGTAAGAATATTTTGGAACGGTTTTAAATTTAAATTTAAAAAAAAATTTAACTAACGATATTTTTTCTTCTATTTATAAATACATGTAACAAAATAATATCCTGGCTTTTTCCTTGATAAAGTCCTGCAACGGACGAAACACAGTGGTAAAGAAAAATTTTACTTTGTCTTTATTTACGTTGTCTTTTCAAACCTTTTCATAATATATATATATATATATATATATATATATATATATATATATATATGTGTGTGTGTGTGTGCGTGTGTGTATGTATACGCATGTGTGTGTATGTGCATATATATATATATATATATATATATATATATATATATATATATATGTCATCAAATTTTATTATGGTGACACTTCTCATAATAACGTTTGATGTAATAGAAACCTCGGATTAAAATAAATCTATTAAAAATCCTCTTATTATATATATATATATATATATATATATCGATTATATATATAAATATACAAAATAACAAGTAGGAAAAAGAAATTAATCTAACATTTTTCCCTCCGTTATTTGTCAAAAATCAAATATTATTATATATATATATATATATATATATAAAAATCTGATTTAATATATATATATATAAATATATATATATCCATATATAAAGTATATATATATATATATATATATATAGAGATATATATATATAGATAGATAGATAGATAGATAGATAGATAGCGTCTTACAAAAACACTTTTACAATCTTTGTGGCGGGTTCGTCGCACCAAATAAGGACAAAAGATCATAAAAATATATCTATTCACATTGTTTATCTTTCTTTCTTCTTTCCTTTCTCGCTCTCTTTGTTTGTTTGTTTCTTTCTTTCTTTGTCTCTTTCTTTCCTTTCTTTTTCTTTTAGATTATGTCTATTTTTCCTGTCATTTCTCGCACTCACTTTCTTTCTTTCTTTCTTTCTTTCTTTCTCATTAATCTTCCCTTTCTTTTTCTTTAATATTATCCCTATTTCCCTATTTTTTCTTTCATTCTTTTCTTTTCTTTCTTTCTTTCTTTCTCATTAATCTTTCCTTTCTTTTTCTTTTATTCTATCCCCACTCTACTGTTCGTTCTTTCCTTCTTTCTTTCCTTCTTTCTTTCTTTCTTATTAATTTTTCCTTTCTTTTTTTTTTATTCTTTCTTTTTCTTTCCCCTTCTTTCTTTCTTTTTTCCCCCTTTCTGTACTTGCCTCTCCTTTAATATTTTCCATATTATATTTCTCATATTTTAAAATGTTTTTCATATTTTATTTTCCTTCATTTTTGCTTTTCTATCTTTCTTTCTGTCTTTTTGTCTTTATTATGCAGTGCCCGCTTGTATATTTTTCTTTTTCTTTTTTCTTTTTCTTTTTCTTTTTTCTTTTTCTTTTTTCTTTTTCATTTTTCTTATTCCTTTTTTTTTTTTTCTTTTTTCTTTTTCATTTTTCTTTTATCTTTTTCTTTTTTCTTTTTCTTTATTTTTTTTTCTTTTCATTTTCTTTTTCTTTTCTTTTTTAACTTTTTTTTTTTTTTTTTCTTATTAAGTTTTTCATTATTTTTCTTGTACCCGCTTGTATACTTTTTTGTCCTTTTCCATCGTAGTCATACCTCCATCTATATTGTTATAATCATGATTTTTGCATGGACTTGTCGCATATCTTTTTCATGTCTTTATTCATACTGTCTTTGTCATTTATATATATATATATATATATATATATATATATATATATATATATATATATATATATATATATAACGTTAAGAATTTTTTAACGTTTCATCAGGTGTGGGAAGTCACGATCACCTGATGAAACGTTAAAAAATTAAAACAAGATGTACAGTTTTGTATTTATGTGCATGTTCTAATGTAAATAATAAATAAATATTTATTGCTCTCCGTTTGTATCATGTTTCGTTTTTTTTACATTTGTATATATATAACGTTATATATATATATAAATATATATATTATATATATAGTTTTCGATTAGAAGAAACCTCAACAGAATGCAGAAAGCACTGGTTGAACGTTTTGTCCTATATTTGGACTCATCAGATCATCCACTACCGAAAATGTTAAAAACAGCTACATTGAAGGCAAACGTGGAAACAAATATGGACAAACGGGCCGTCAGTTTTTGTTCTGTTTGAGTTATTCTAGACTCGATGAATTATAATTATCTCAAATCCTCCTTAATTCTATCATTTGTATATCCTTGCTTGTACCAAATTTTAATGCTCTGGATGGATAAATAAATATTCGGAGGTTTGCTTGATGAGTTTGTACTAATCTTGTTTTAAAGTTGGTATGACGTTTGAATGCGCTGAAAGTCCCAAATATAGGACGAAACAGCCGTCTTTTCGTTTTTCCAGATTCGATGAATTAACATTTCCTATATTTCTATATATATATATATATATATATATATATATAGAGAGAGAGAGAGAGAGAGAGAGAGAAGTATCTTGAGAAAAATGATGTATAATTTCACTGCATGTAACATTTAATTTAAAAATTCATACATAGAAAATATTATTTATTTTAGGATATTAAAGGTTGAATACTGTTTTGTCCTCATAAGATTTTTTTAAATCAATCTTTCACTCGGGTAGTCTAACGTCGCAGGAGACACATTTATGGTGTTGAAACATAACTATATATACGAGAATTTTTAGAAACTAAAATAAATTATATATATATATATATATATATATATATATATATGTGTGTGTGTGTGTGTGTGTGTGTGTGTGTGTGTTTTGTATGAATGATCTCATATAATTATAAGTTGAACAAAATCGAAATTAAAAATAAATGATACCAAACTTTGTATAATAAGTGTGACAAATATTGAACAATATAGGACAAAACCTACCAGTAAAAAGAATTCGTCAATATTTGTACAAAAATTTTTAAACTGGCGTTTCGCATTCCAAAATAATAACACATTTTCTGTTTTTTCGATTATTTCTTCTAGATTCGATATAATATATATATATATATATATATGTATGTATATCGTCCATGCATTGAATACCATGTCATATGTTGCTAATGCGCACTGTTCATCCCGATGGAGCGGCAATGATAGGTGACCCATATCCCGTGCCCTCTGTCTTTCTATATTTTCGACGAGCTATATTTCCTTGGCACAGTCGTGGTATGGGTATCCTCAACTTGAAACAGATGAGTTCCACCACGGAATTCTTGCACTTCCTGAACGAACGGCGCAATATCGATTCCCTAAATATAATATTAAAAAATTAACTTAACGTTATCGAGGCCTTGATTAGTACAGTTGGTACTGTAAACCTTGCACGTTTGCCTTGTCAGAAAATCTCCATTATAAAAGGATGTTTGCAATGCACGGCCGCATGAGTTTGCCCAAATTTACATAGGATGAAACGAAAGGCTTAAACCGTCCCAACTGTCGATTGGAAATAATTGATTTTTTCATGCATTTTCTGTAGTTTGAGGTTTCTTGGCCAGAGTAGATGGTTGCCAAGAATGGCGGGAAGATTATATTAATTATCTCAAATCTTAACGAATGTTAACTAGCATGCAAAAAATTTTACGAGTCCTTTTATTTTACGATCATTTAAATATATATATATATATATATATATATTTTTCGTAACAGACACAATGTTTAGACAGAGAGAGAAATTCGAGAGAGAGAGAGGAGAGGTAGCAACATCATGGCAGAACAAAATGGTTTAAGTAATTTCATTGCTGTATGTAACATTTTTGAATTTAAAAAGATGGATCCATATATTTATATATATAATATTATTTATTTTAGGATATCCTAAAGAACCGTTAAAATCGTGGATGGGGCGACTTGGGCATAGTAGGAGTTATGTATCAACATGAGTTACATAAATTTGTCTATATCGAGTCTAATGAATTATCTGTTGTTTTTTAATCAATCTTTCACCTAACGCCAGTTCAATTCTCGGTAGTGGATGCGCACGTGAGCCTGAGGAGACATATTTATTCTGTTGAAACGATGAATTACTTATTATATCAAATCCTCCTAAAAATTTGTAACATATATAGGTGTTTAGTTCTTCACACCAAAGCAAAAAAAAGTAAAAACATATATATATTTATATTTTTATATATATATATATATATATATATATATATTACATTATCATTCGAGACATTTGTGGCTAGTCTGTCTTTAATTTTAATGTATGTCTACGAGTTAAAATTGCTCCGTTTAATAATGGTGGATAACTAAAAGCAGGAAATGATATTTAACATCTGCGCGAATGGTAAAAGATCCGAAGAAACCGAAAGAAAGATAGGAACCGAAACAAAAATGAAAGAGACTGTAAATTGCTCAAAGAAAGACAGAAAAAAGGAAATGATATAACTAAAGAAAGGACAGAGAAAGGAAAAGAAGGAACAATATAAAAGAAGAAAGGGAAAGATTAATAAGGGAAGAGAGTGAGAAAGGACCGGAATGAAAAATAATGTGAAGAATAAAGGAAAAGAAAAGAAGGAAGATGAAGAAAGAAAGAAAGAAAGAAAGAAAGAAAGATGGAATAATGTAAGAGAAAAACGAAGGTAAATATCAGGTCATCCCATAAGTTCTGTCCGAATTTTGAAAAAAAATACAAGTGACCAAATGTTACATTTAATTACAGATTCAATCAACAATGTATTTTCCCTGATTATCTATGACTTCCTTCCATCTACTAACAAGCTTACTAATTCCATTACTGTAAAATTCTTTTGGCTTTGATTCGAAGAACTCACAAAAACAGTTTTAACCTCTTCCTGTGTTACCAAAAGCTGTTTCTTCCAATGATTCTGTAAGGTACGAAACAAATGGTAGACTGAAGGAGCAAGATCGGGAGAATAAGGTGGATGATGAATTTTCTCCCAACCAAGTTCTTCGATATTTTGTGACGTGATTCTTGCTGTGTGGGGTCGCGCATTGTCCTGATGAAACATCACCTCTTTTCGATTCACTAGAGCAGGTCTTTTTATCCCCAAAGCTTGGTTCAAACGCTATAATTGCTGACAGTACATTTGAGCATTAATTGTTGCATTAGGTGGGAAAAATTCAAAGTGGATTATTCCTTGGCGATCCCACCAGATTGAAAGAAGAACCTTTTGCCCGTGAAGTTCCCTTCTCGGCTGTGGCTGGGGTCATACCCCTTTACCAAGCCACTGTCTACGACTCTTAACATTTCGATAAAACATCCATTTTTCGTTGCCAGTCACAAGTCTATCCAAAAAGGTGAAACAAGTTGGCGAGAATGGAGAGAAGAGCAGATGTCAACTCGGGATTTGAGGTTGGTTTCAGACAATTCATAAGGCACCCATTTTCCCAAGTTTAGGAACTTTTCCAAGTTGTTGAAGATGACGATGAACAGTTGTATGGTTTGAACTGAGAACCACTGCCAATTCCTCAACTGATAAAGCAGGATTTTCTTCAAGGGCTGCTTCAAAAACTTTTCATCAAACTCAACTGGACGTCCGGTTCGATCTTCATCTTCAAGGGTGAAATTCCACCTCTGAATTTTGCAAACCATCTTCTGTAAGTTCTTTTTCATTCACACATTCCTCTCCATAAACTGAGTGAATGTTTCTAGCTGCTGAGTTTCCTTTCTTGAACTCATAAAGCATTATGTGCCTCAAATGATTCTTGGGTACTTTCATGTTAGCAGGGTTTTAATAAAAAAAAATTAATTTTATTGTTCTCTGAAATAAAATTTGATCAGTTTAAATGCATCTAAACATAAAAGTAATGTTCAGCTCTATTAGACATTATAAAATACTCATTAAATTTCGTCCATTTTAACAAAAAGTTACCATTCGGACAGAACTTATGGGATGAGCTGATAAAACATGAAAGAAAGAATGAAAAATAATGTGAAAGCTAAAAGAAAGGAAAGGAAGGAAGATAGAAAAAGAAAGAATGGATAATATAAAAGAAAAAGGAAGATAAATATGAAAGAAAGAATGAAAAAAAATAACATGAAAGATAAAGGAAAAGATAGGAAGGTCGATGTACAGAAAGAAAGAAAGAAAGAAAGAAAGAAAGAAAGAAAGAAAGAAAGAAAGAAAAGAAAACAGAAATGACAATGTAAAAGAAAATAAAGGAAAGTAAAATATAAAAGAAAGAAAGAAAAAAAAAGGAAGGAAAAAAAGATAATATAAAAGAAAATGGACGGTAAATATAATATGAAAGAAAGAATGAAAAAAGAAGGAAAACGATTTGAAAGATAAAAGAAAAGAGGAAAGACGATCTAAAGAAAGAAAGAAAGAAAGAAAGAAAGAAAGAAAGAAAGAAAGAAAAGGACAGAAATGATAATGTAAAAGAAAAAGAAAGGGAAGTAAAATATAAGAGAAAGAAAGAAAGAAAGAAAGAAAGGAAGGAAAGAAGGAAGGAAGGAAGGAAAAAGAGATTATAAAAAAAGAAAAAGGACAGTAAATATTATATGAAAGAAAGAATGAAAATAGAAGGGAAAATGATTTGAAAGATAAAAGAAAAGAGGAAAGACGATCTAAAGAAAGAAAGAATGAAAGAAAAAGAAGTGATATTGTAAAAGAAAAAGAAAGGTAAATATAATATGAAAGAAAGAAGGAAAAAATGAAAAATAATGTGAAAGATAAAGGAAAAAAAGAAAGCCGATGGAAAGAAAAAAGACCAAAAAGAACAGAGAGGATAATGTAAAAGAAAAAGGAAAGGAAATAAAATCTAAAAGAAAGTAAGAAAGAAAGAAAAAAAGAAAGAAAAGGAAAGTAGGTATAATATAAAAGAAAAAGGAAAAATAATTTGAAAGACAAAAGAAAAAGGGTAGACGATGTAAAGAAGAAATAAAGAAAGAAAGAAAGAAAAAAAGGGGAAAAAAAAAGAAAATGGAAGGGAAATAAAATAAAGAAAGAATGAAAAAAAAAAATAATGGGAAAAAAGGAAATATGAAAAAAAGAAAGAAAAAAGAAAGAAGAAAGAAAGAAGGAACAAAATAATGAAAAAAGAAAAGGACAATATATAAAAGAAAAAAGGAAAGGTAAAATATAAAATGAAAAGAAAAAATGAAAAAAGAAATGTAAAAGAAAAAGAAAGGTAATGAAAGAAAGAATAAAAAGAAGGAAAAGACAAAGATAAGGGAAAAGGATGATGATGTAAAGAAAAATGAAAGAAAGAAAGAAAAAAAAGAAAGAACGAAAGAAAAGGACAGAGAGAATCATTTAAAAGAAAAGAGAAGGGAAGTAAAATATAAAATAAAAATAGATAGAAAGAAAGAAACGTTATGTAAAAGGGAAGGTTGAATAAATAAAGAAAGAAAGGTGGAAGGAAAATGATGCGACAAAAATGGGAAAGAATAGAAGGAAAAAGAAGAAAGTGATAAAGAAAAAAGAAAGAAAGGAAGGAAAGAAGGGATAATGTAAAAGAAAAAGGAAAAGAAAGGAAGGTTGATGTAAAAAAAAAAGAAAGAACTAAAATATGGATGATAAGAAAGACGAAAGGAAAGAATTAGAAAGAGTAAGGCTAATGTAAAATAAAAAGGCATGAGTGAAAAAGAATTAATAAAAAAAAAATGAAAAGAAAATAGAAAAAAAAAAAAAAACAAAAGAATAAAATTTAAAAAAAAAATAACAAAACTCCAGATCACAAACAAAGTGAAAAAAAAAAAAAAAAACTCTTTATAAAGGAAACGAACCACAAAAGAAAAAAAAAAAAAAGAATTATAATTGCTGAACGCGTCATTTTAAAGGTTATATTATAAAATGCGGGAGAATCCAAGAGGAAGGTCGGCCATTTTGATAGTCTATGACTCATCACTTTCTCATCACTCAGATATTTTGGCGCGTTTATTTATATTCAAGCGAGAAGGAAAACGAGAAAAAAAAAGAAATTCTGACACAAATGCCATTTCGAAATCCGTCGATCGTCATTTCAGGCGTTGAGAGAATATTTCATCATCAAATCTCAAAGATGATATGCCTTGCGTCAAAATGCGATGTAAATAAAAGGGATTTCAAGAGATTATTTGCCAAGCGTGTAGCTTTTTTATTTTATCAGGGGGATTAAATACACAGATTAGTAAATTGATTATTAAGAAGATAAGGATCAAGAACAAGAGAGAGGGTGGCGAGAAGGAGAGGATGGAAGTGAGAAATAGAGCCAGGGGAGATAGAGGGAAAGAGGGAGCTAGGTGGAGAGAGAAGGAAAGACAATGGCTAACTAAAAATGCTTGCGGAAAGTGAGAAGGAGAGGAAAGTTGATAGATATTAACATAGCTAGATTGAGGATAGATAGATAGATGTGAACATAATCAAAAACATGAATGCTTGGATTTCTAGAGACAAACACGAATAGATATATATATATATATATATATATATATATATATATATATATATATATATATATATATATATATGCAGTTTGATATACATGAACGAACAGAAATAGATATATATGAAAAAAAAATATGATTCGTATATAGATAGGTCAGCAGATATGAGATAGATAGCTAGATAGATAGATAGATAGATATAGATATGTACAGATTACAATAGATAGATATTAAAATATAGAGATAGATATAACTAGACGACGATACACAGATATGAACAGTAGAATGAGTAGAATATATATATATATATATATATATATATATATATAAATATAAAAGTAACATAGAAGTATTTACATTAATTGGCGACAACTCATGCAATGTTTCATGCCGATATATATATATATATAGTGTAATATATATATAATATATTTATTTATATAATTTCATGCCGAATAATAATAATATATATTTATATATATTTATTTTATTTATATATATATATATATAATTTTAAGATATATAATTAATATCCATTCTTTTATCCATTTTATATATATATATATATATATATATATATATATATATATATATATATATATATATATATATATATATATATATATATATATATTGTGTTTGGGGGGCGTGGCTGAGTGGTTAGAATGTTCAGAGACCCAGGTTCAAATCTCACCACGGTTAATTTTGTTAGAAGGAGACTTCCTGAATTTATTGGGCTGAAGGGGACGATTTCAACGGGCCGTAACTTTGGAAAGTGCCTGAAAACCACACCACGTATTGATCCAAGACTTGTGAGCGAAATTGGTGGCCGTACTAGCAGGAAGTCACAAGTCATCCTGACTGAGGTTTTGGGTTTTGCTGGCGTTGTTCACATTGTTGATAACAGACTCTTTCCCAGAAACTGTAACTAAGGTCTGCTCAGCAAGGTTGCAGTATAAACAACAGGTTGGCTCCGTGGGTGTTGAACAAACACTCATGTGCCTTAGTAGACGGGTATCCTTAAATAGCCAATATATATATATATATATATATATATATATATATATATATATATATATATATATATATATATATATATATATATCATAGAAATAAATACAATATGGGAACCAGTAATAAGCAGTGCCAGAGAAAAGCAATGATAACAAAAAAAGTTGAAATATGAGCTCAGGTAAAAACATGTAATGATAACAGCAAAAATTGCAATATGAGCACTGGTAAAAATGGTTTCTGAAGACATTAGGTTTATAATACCCAGAAATTCATACCCAGATGAAGGACACATGGCACAGTGGATAAAGGCGTTGATTAGTTCCAGTGACAGGACGCAAATAGTGTGAGTTCAATACCCGGTTAAGGCAGTGGAGAACTTTCAGAGGGAAATTAGCAGGAGATAACTAATAACTGACATCCATCAAATATGGCACGTGGAACTAGAACAGTCAGCGAAATAAAGGCTTCAGTTCGAAATTCCAACCACTTGAACAAAATATGGCGACAAAGAGTCCGAATACTGTAAATAATATATATATATATATATATATGAATAGACTAAGGTAGAAATTGTCCATCTATTTAAACACACCCACGAAATATAAAGCTTAAAGTAATAAGACATTAAATGCAAGACATATAATAAATAAATCGATCGATCATAGAATCGATCGATTGGAGAAAGAATATAGAAATCAACAAAAAAAGAAATCTACTTAATATCCATTGACTTCGTTGAATTGATCGAGATAATATTACTGAAAAATCGATATATGCTGCAGTCGAGCAACACTCTGATATATGAACTGATACGTTGCCGGTAACATATACACCAATCTGATGAGATATACATATGTTTCAACAGTCAGATTGATAAATTAGTAGACTGAAATAGATACCTTGAGACGAAATAAAATGGATGTGTATAGGATTGATTGGATCTTTGATACTTGAATTAAAACCGCTAATATCAACCCAAACACAGTATAATTCACCGACCAAAGTATTTCCACCGTAAGTTATATAAACTTTATATATTTATTAAATGCCATGCCTCATCAGGAAACTACAAGATCATAGCTCTTGAAACAACATTTATTTATGAACTGGGAATTGCCAGGAATTCTGCAGAAGAAGAGTAAAGCGATCTCTAATTGCCGTCTCTACAGTTTTGATTTAAGAGCTTTCTCCCTTCAGAACATAGGTGATCATGACTCTCCACAGATTGCCTTTCTCTATTGTCTTGGAATTACCATGACTTCTTTTGAAAGATAGTACAGTTGTTTTCGATTGGTTACTCTACGGTTCTGAATTCAGAGCTATCTTTCACCCTTCAGGACAAAGGCAGTCATGGCTCTCCACATATAACTTTTCTTTATTATCTGGGAATTTCCATGACTTCCTAGGAAAGATAGTAGAGTGGTGTCCAGTTGGCTTCTTTACGGTTTTGAATTCAGAGCTGTCTTTCTCCCTTCAGGACATAGGCGATCATGGCTCTCCACAGATTGCTTTTCTTTATTATTTGGGAATTTCCATGACTTCTTTTGAAAGATTGTACAGTGGTTTCAGATTGGCTTCTCTACGGTTTTGAATTCAGTGCTGTCTTTCTCCTTTCAGGAAATAGACGATCATGGCTCTCCACAGATTCATTTTCTTTATTATTTGGGAATTTCCATGACTTCTTTTCAAAGATATTACAGTTGTTTCCAGTTGGCTTGTCTACGGTTTTGAATTCAAAGCTGTCTTTCTCCTTTAGAACATAGGCGATCATGGCTTCCACAGATTCATTTTCTTTATTATCTTGAATTGTCAAGTCGTCTGCGGAATTACAGCAGTCGTTTTTTTTTCGTTGTTTTCTTTACGGTTTGATTTTCGAGATGTCCTGCATTACCAAGCATAATAAAATTCAAAATTCATTTTTATATAAAGATGAATTGTGGTATTTAATACGGCTGCTATCCTATTATCGAATAAACGAAAGCAAACTTGACTATTGGAAACTATATCTATAATTTAGATTTATGGTCGAGGTTAGTTTTATAGATAAGGTTAGTGCTGCAAGTGTTGACAAATAAATAAACGATTTGTGTTCATAATTATAAAATGAAAAAAACGTGCAACTAATAAAAATTCAGCAGATATTTATTTATATTTTATACAGTGTAACCCGGATATAAGAAACCCGGATATAAGAGAAACCCAGATATAAGAGAGATTTTCTCTGGTCCCAAATTAGAGTCTGTGTTAATGTATATAAAATAGACCCGGATATAAGAGAAACCCGGATATAAGAGAGATTTTCTGTGGTCTCGAATTAGAGGTTATGTTAATGTATATTAATTAGACCCGGATATAAGAGAAACCCGGATATAAGAGAAACCCGGATAAAAGAGAGATTTTCGTGACAGTTCGTTTCGTTTGACAGTGTGATGTCGTAAATCAGTCAAACAGAAGTCAGAGAGAGAGAGTGAACTTCAATGACTTAATCTTGACTAATCTAGAGACACGGTGTGTCCAATCTGTGTCTGTAGGAGACACCCTCTACCTTATGATTTTGCTTTGTGTGTCTAAGGGTAGCGCCGCCCGCTTTTTTTGCCGACTTTGCTTGTCGTTGCATTTACTGGGCAGCACTTTCACTTTACCCACTGTTCTGTTGAGTCAGAAGTTTGTCTGTTAATTTAAAACCGTTTGCTTGCGATCAGTGCCGCTGTCCGAGGTGGCCAAGCAGATAACTGTTTTGAAGGCCATGCACATGATGAAGCGAGCACATGGCACAGTGGATAAAGGCGTTGGTTAGATCCAGTGACAGGACCCAAAGAGTGTGAGTTCAATACCCAGTTAAGGCAGTGGAGAACTTTCAGAGCGAAATCAACAAGAGATAACTGATAACTAACATCCATGGCACGTGGGACTAGAACAGTCTACCCCAGTGAGCGAAATAAAGGGTTCAGTTCGACATTCCAACCACCTGAAGAAGACCGGAGCGTACAACGGCCGAAACGTTGTGATAAATATGGCGAAAAAGATGAGGACAACAGTTCGAATAATGTAAATAATGTTTCGTTCCAGGTAGTTAAAATCTGTTGTGGGGTCGGCGTCATAAAGTTTGCTAACAAGATGCAGTAAAACTATATCATATATAAATCAAATATTTTATTTATGTAAAATAAAAATAATTTTGTTGTGAAATATTTCTGAAAAGACCACTTTCTAGAAATTATAAAAAGTAGAAAAATCAAAACACTGCTAAGAGGGTCAGTCAGTTTTGTGCCATGCGTGATACACGAATAGGCGATCATGTATCTTTCGATACATGACTGACGAGGTAGATTTTTTTCCTGCAGTAGGTTGCCATTTCTTTCTGGGGTAGACCAGTTGGTATCAAAGTCTATAGAACCCAGTCTGAGCTGTTATTTACCCACAGCCGGAGGGAGAAGAAGAAGAAGATTCCTAAGGGTATTAGCGCGTAAGCGAATATAATGGATTCGACTGGAATTCGAACGCGGCTCTCTAATTCCTCAATCCGGACCGCAATTCAATAGTCCTCCGTGATAAGATGGTACCGCAACATTAAACCCAAATTGTTGTCAATAAAAATTGTTATCGAACGTAGAAAACTAAAAAAATGATTAGCGATTAAAACATTAATTAGTGATTTTAACGACATTTGTCAGTAGCATAATTTAAGTAATGAAGAATATTTCAACCTAAGACTAACGATCGGTTTACACGTGAAATTTAGTCACTCGTATAAACTTTAAACTCTTATTCTTTTTACATCTGTTACTTATACACACATATATACACACATATATAGGCATACCTATAATGTCCGGCTAATCTCGTTTACCGGGCACATCCGTCTACTAGGGCGGCTTACCAATCCCTGTGGCAGACGCCTGCTCAGGCACATTCATGTTTGTTCAAAACCCACATGGCCCACCTGTGGTTTCAAACTCAACTATGCTAAGTAGAACTTAGGTACAGTTTCTGCGCGCGCGCGCGAGAGAGAGAGAGAGAGAGAGAGAGAGCATATTCTAACGTGATCATTTGAACCAAAAGCAGTACGCTGAAAGCCTCGATCATGATGACTGCTAACCTCTTGTTAACACAACCAGGACCAAACTTGAACAGTTCCGTATACACAATTTCATTCACAAGACTTGGGTCGACACAGTGATATGGTTTTCCGACAATTTCCACAACACGTTGGGATCATTTCCCTCGTAGCAAAAAAATGATCACGTTGGGATTAGAACATCTCCCCTCGCTGATAGCATATAAAAATTACGATAAACGCAATGATCAATCAGTGGTGAGATTAGAACCTTTTAAAGTGAAAAGCGTTCAAATACGGCAGAAATTTATATAAAGATCAATTCATTCATAACGGATCTGGAGGTTTTTGTATACTATTTGAATTGTTTGCGATACTTTTTACATTAACCTTTTCATTAGTTTTATGATTATTTTACATATATATATATATATATATATATATATATATATATATATATATATATATATATATATACAGTGGTGGCTGGCCGCTTGTATCCGAGTATGCCCGTCTACTGGGGCTGCTAGCTAATACCCATTGCAGACGCTTGCTCAGGCATATATATGTGTGTTCAACATCAACAGACTCCACCTGTGGTTCATACTGCAGCTATGCTAAGCGGACTTTAGTTACATTTCCTGGGAAAGAGCGCATTATCTAACGTCATCAAGAGACTGAACAAGGACAGCCCCTTCAAACACTCGGTCACCGTGACTTGTGACTTCGTGCTCGCACAAGCATCGACGGTTCCCGAATAGTTCCGTCTATCCAGTGTAACTCGCAAGACTTGGGTCAATCCATGGTATGGTTTTCGGGCGCTTCTAAAAGGTGCCGCCGGTCGGAGTCGCCTCTGCAGGCCGACAATATCAAAAAGTCACTCTTCTGATGGTCAGAAAGCGAACGTTCGCATCATACGGGCCATCTCGTTCGCCGATTGAGCACTATGGAGAAGGGGAATATTTAACAGCTGCTGCTGATGCTTAACTCATCGCTCTCCGTCAGAATTGAGCGCTCTTTCTGTTGGTGTCGCATTTATATACATCACGTATATAACACGTTAAATGATTCCCTTTCTCTGCCGTAAGCCGATAGCTTAAGGGTAGAGTCTCTCAGTGATGGCAAATCGCTCGATTTATATCTATCTATCTATCGATATATATATATATATATATATATATATATATATATCCAAGTATAGGATTGGTGTATACGGAATAAATTCCAATAACCAAAAGTACTAACACCATCACTTGATAAGACACCAGAAGTGTTGAAACATAATGGCTATTTTGTAGTGATTTTATAACATATTTATGTCATAATGTTCGAATAAATTATATATATATATATATATATATATATATATATATATATATATATATATATATATAGAGAGAATATATATAAAAAGTTTGAGAATTAATATAAAAGTTAGCTGATTGATGTTATCTTAAGCATTCCGACTCCAGAGTTTCGTAGACGGACCCGTCCGCCCACTTTTCAAGGGGATTTTAATCTTCCTTGGCTTTTCCCTCTTTTCCTTCAATTCTAGCTATTTATATCCATTTATATTTCTTTAGACAAGTTATCGTTTTTAAGTTTTAATTCTCGTCTTTTCTTGAGCGTGGAAAGTAGTATTTATCATTACAAGCAGAACTTTTGGCCACATACCAAAAAAAAAAAAAAAAAAAAAAGCAGCGTTCAATATTTAAAGGCGTATCCATTATTTGATATGACGGCTGTCTGGTGTTTGGGTGAATTTGAGAT